TAAACCCTAAACCCTAAAACCCTGAACCTGAAGCCCCGAAATCCTCAGCTCGGTCCCTCCGAATGGCCCCGAGAAAGCGAGCGCCCCGCCGCAACGATGATCTGAGTCCCGTCCGGCTTGAAGGCGATACCTCGGAAACCCCAACCGATGAATTATGAGCCGAAACCCATACCCCAACTCTAGACCCTTATCACGCTTAGAACCCTTACAACCCTTGTAGCCCTTATAACCCTTACAACCCTTGTAACCATGATAACCCTGATACCCCTGATACCCCTTCTAACCCTTATAAACCTGATACCCTGAACCGAGGGACCCTTCTAAGCTATTGGGGACCTGCGGATCTGAATCGGGGGCTACTGTGGGGTTACTCACCCAAATTCTAGACACCCAATTGAAGCTACTTCTGCGGGAATGTCCTTATAGCTACATGGGCATTTCCCAAAACAGGGGTACCCCGTTTATACCCCAGATAGAATAGCAACGCCTTCAAAGGGACCCCCGCAAAAAAGTAGCCCTGTTGTCGGAAACCCCCCATATGCATTGTAAAGGGGACCTGGAACTAAAACAGGGCAAAAGGGTATTGCTGGGCTATCAACTCTGCAGTACGCACACATATGCTTAGGGTTTAGGTTTTGGGGGCTTATGGTTTCGGGGTTTGGGGTCGGGGGGGGCTTAGGGGGGTAGGGTCTCGACAGCAACGCTTAGCTTCCGTCCTTCTTTCATGGAGGCATGTCTGTGCTGCCTCAAGGCCATGATCCCTCCAAACTGCAGCTCCCGGCACCCTGTACCAGGGCTTATAGATTTTTCCGCTTAGCCTTGTGGATGCCCGTAGCCTAACACCCTAAACCCTAAACCCTAAACCTTCAACCCCAAACCCCAAAGCACATACACGCCAGGCTGCTCCAGATGCAGTTGCTCCATTTCTCCCTCTCCGGAACCTGCTACCGCATCGGAGAAGCTAAGTCTGGCGTGTCCGCATTGAGGGACCATGTGACTACCCTTAGATTCAACCATGGTTGCAAGGTCACATAAAAAACCCACGTAAGCCCTACACCCACCCAATGGCCTGTGCAATGTTTCAAGTCTTGGTAGGGCTGAGTGCTTTTGGCGCTTATGGAGTTTGTTTAGGGTTTAGGGTTTAGGGTTTAGGGTTTAGGGTTTAGGGTTTAGGGTTTAGGGTTTAGGGTTTAGGGTTTAGGGTTTAGGGTTTAGGGTTTAGGGTTTAGGGTTTAGGGTTTAGGGCTAGGGTTACGGAGGTGCCCTTGCTCTCGAGCATTGAGGGTACCCCCAGAATCCGTCAACATGGAATCTACCGGACGCCTTGTAACTGAGGGTGCCAATTAAAGAAAAGCCCCCCCCCCCCCGTCCCGTACAAGTTTTCGAGGGTTTTCTTTAGGGTTTAGGTTTTGGGGTTTAGGGTTTAGGGTGCTGCCCCGAGAGCCCGCAATAACCTCATGCAGTGGATTCATGGTGGACGTACATTAAGTACAGGGTCTATTGCGAAAGTAGGGTTAGGGCTTAGAACTCAACACATAAACCCCAAAAGCCCTAAACTTAAGTTATTGAAGACGCCAACAAGCACAAACGGCCTGACCTGACAGTATACGTAAGCGGATGGAGGATTTGCTCATTGGGGCTGTGGGCTTATACACCCTAAGGAAAGCGATGAGAAGTATCATATAACCCTCCCTCTAAAACCCCTAAGCTGTGCCTAAACAAACCCCCCCCCTCCTGCCCCCACCCCCCCAAACCCCCGATAAACCCTCTAACTCTGCAACCCTGCAACCCAATACTACCCTGCAATCCCAGCCTTGTCCTGCCATAAGGTTACGGTTCGCATCGTTGGGCGTCCAGGGCCGAACCTCAGTGTTTTGCTGCGGCTTAATGGCCCGAAGCAATCTTCTGCAGCGTGCTTGGGAAAGGAGAAATCGGGATAGGGTTTAGGGTTTAGGGTTTAGGGGTTAGGGTTTAGGCGTTAGGCTGTAGGGTTACGTTTTAGGGTAAACGCTGAATCAAGAACCCTGCGCAAGCAAAAGCCTTGCATGACCCTGCACCAAAAGCCCTAAACCATTTTGGGGTTCCCATTTTGGGAAGGATTCCCCTGCAAAGGAACTCGTACCCCACGCTTCATTTAACCCTGGCAACCAAATGAACCCAAAAATCGGATATCCCATACTACGATAATTCTATTGAGCCTTTTGAATCATTGTATTGGCTGGTGGTCTCTTTAAGTAGGGTTTCTGTTATTTAGTGGGGTTCTTATAAGGGTATTTAGGGGCCATATTCAGGTATAAGGGTAACAGATAAAGAGCCCACCGGCCTTTTTTGATGTATGAACCATAAGCCCTTTTAGGGTTCATTTGGTCCAAGGTGGAACACACCCGCACTTGAGGCCTTAGTGCTGTTCTGCTGCTAGGGCTTCAGGGCTCAGGATTTGGGGCTTTAGGCTTTTTCGGGCCTTGTCAAACCCAAGCCCTACACCTGATCCCTGCTAAACCCTAAACCCTAAACCCTAAACCCTAAACCCTAAACCCTAAACCCTAAACCCTAAATCCTAAACCCTAAACCCTAAACCCTAAAGCAAACCAAAGCCCCGAATGCACTGCCCGGCACGCTGGCTTTTCCCCGCACCTCCGGCAAGTGCAGGCGTCGCTCCGCAGAACCCTTTTGGGGGGTTTAGGGTTTAGGGTTTAGGGTTTAGGGTTTACGGTTGAGCATTTAAACACCTTAAGTATAAATGTAACCCTAAACCCTAAACCCTAAACCCTAAACCCTAAACCCTAAACCCTAAACCCTACACCCTAAACCCTAAACCCTTATAAACCCTAAACTCTAAACCCTAAACCCTAAACCCTAAACCCTAAACCCTAAACCCTGCCTTCCAAGAGTTCCAGGGCGCGGTCCCGGGCCCGCAGCACCTCGGGGTGCCTTTCAGGCCAGTGTGGCGCTGAGCGCAGGAGGCGCAGAGCGTCCGCGCAGCCGGGCCCATGGACCTGGATCTAGGGTTTAGGGTTTAGGGTTTCGGGTTTAGGGTTTAGGGCTTAGGGCTTAGGGCTTAGGGTCATAGAGGTTTCAGGTTTGGGGGTTGAAGCGCTTGGCTCCGGGAGTACTACCGAAACGGTTTAGGGTTTAGGGTTTAGGGCCCTTAGCCAACCAGCCCCATTCCCAAGCCTTCACAACACCCCGAAAAGCCCGATAAACCAGAGGGGAAGCCCTGAAACCCTACAAAAAACCCCTCTGAATCTTACAAACCCCACAATAACTCCATCAAACCCCAGGACCGCCCCTAAACCCTAAACCCTAAACCCTAAACCCTAAACCCTAAACCCTAAACCCTAAACCCTAAACCCTAAACCCTAAACCCTAAACCCTAAACCCTAAACCCTAAACCCAAGAAGAGGGAGGCCACCTGCCCCAGGGCACCGGCGGCCGCAGAGCGCACCGCCCAGTCCCTGTGGGTGAGGAGCAACCCCAGCTCACCCAAGGCCTTGTGGGGGTTTAGGGTTTAGGGTTTAGGGTCTGGGGTTTGGGTTTTAGGGTTTTGGGTTTGGGGTTTAGGGTTTGGGGTTTGGAGTTTAGGGTTTCGGGTTTGGGGTTTGGGGTTTCGGGTTTGGGGTTTCCGGTTTGGGGTTTAGGGCTACTAGGGCTTCCAGGGTTTACAGAGTTTGAAGGGCTTACAGAGTTTATCGGGCGCATGGTGCCAAGATTGTTTGCTTTTTACGGGTTACGAGTTCAGGGATCATATAGGTTGAAGGCTTTCAAGTTTGGGGGACTATGCACTCTCGAAGATGCTTGAGACCCGAAGCCCTAAACTCATAAACACCATAAACGCCACAGCTATCGAAGGGGCGTAGGGTTTGAGGATATCTAGGATGGCCCGCCCTTAGAAGCCTCTTAAAAAAAATCCTCAATATGACCCTCCTAAACCTAAACCCAACAAGGGAAAATATGAAATGTCCCAGGGGCCTACTTAGAAAAGCCGTAAACCCTAAACGCTGAACCCTGAACCCTGAACCCTGAACCCTAAACCCTGCAAGGAAGGAAGTCCAAGAAGATGTAGTCCCGGACGCCTCCTCCGCGCCCCCATCCCCTTCCAGCAGCCGGGTGAGAGCCAAGACCTGGTCTTAGAGCGACATGGGGGGAAGAGATGGGTTTAGGGTCTAGGGTTTTTAGGGTGTTTAGGGTTTTTAGGGTTTATAGGGTTTATGGGGTTTGTAGGGTTTAGAGGGTTTAGGGTCTAGGGTTTCCGGGGCTGAGGGTTGTGCACTTCTTTGCCGTGCGGGGAAGGAAGGTTTAAGGTTCGGGAGGGTTTCAGGGTTTGGGGTTTCGGGGCCTCTGGGTTTCGGGGGTGGCGGAGTGTAGCAGCTTCCTCATGAAAGCAAGCACACCCTGAGCCCACCTACGAGTTATGGTGCAGAATTCAACACACCAGAATACTAGGCTGCCCAGTAACCTGGGCTTAAAAAGGGTGCCCTTGTTTTGCTTAAAGGGTTAATAAGGGAACCTAAACCCCCCCGACAAAAAGGGAATAAAGGCACTACTGGGCATCCTAGAATATATGACAGGGCACGGCGGCGTGAACCACCTCCGACTCGGGATCTCGCATGCACTTCATCAGCTTCTCCAGCAGAAGCTTCGGGTCCTGCGTGGCCTCCAGCAGACGCAGGGCGGCCAGCCGCACCTTAAGGGCACGAAGGAACCCCACAACAGGGCTCTTGGGTCCCATGTAAACCTTAAGAGGATTTTTTTGCAGTATGGGGTGTATGAACCCAAATTATAGGGTTCATCCCTAAACCCTAAACCCTAAACCCTGAACCCTAAACCCTAAACCCTAAACCCTAAACCCTAAACCCTAAACCCTCAACCCTACCCTAGTGGTCCCCAAGGAACATGGTGGTCTTCGTGGAGCAGATGCCTCTCCGCCGTGTCAGCGACTTCCTCAGACAGTGGCCGCGCGGATAGTCGGAGCAGCGCATCCAGAGACGCCTGCTTGCAGATCACGCTGCCTTAGCTGCTGAGTTCATAAGCTTTAGGGTTTAGGGTTTAGGGTTTCTATAGGGAATTAGAGTATCCCAAAAAGTGTAAAGTGCACCCACTCAGCTGCTAGGTTGCTGTCCTTCGCCAGCTCGAGAAGCGCAGGGACAGCCCTGGAGTTTTCGCTGTCACCGGCTTCAACCTTGGGGGCCCAATGAACACCCCAAACTGGGGTCACATAGACGTATGTATTTACATACATAAATACGCGCACGCACATACATACATGCATACATGCATACATGCATACATGCATACATGCATACATGCATACATGCATACATGCATACATGCATACATACATACATACATACATACATACATACATACATCATACTTACTTACTTACATATGTATATATATATGTATATATATATATGTGTATATATATATATATGCATACATACAATTGGGGCCAAAGAACCATATTTCTACCCTATACTACCACTGTTGAGGTATGTAGTCCATAATCCCTGTTAGGTCTATGTCGTCCCCAAGGAACAGCTATGGGGAGCAGGTTGGCAGCAAGCACCCGCGACCAGTCGAAGTGATCGAGCTGGATGACATCCTTGGTAGCCCAGGAACCATATGATGACAAGGGCACCCTCGTTAGGGTTAAGGGTTTAGGGTTTAGGTTTAGGGTTTAGGTTTACCTCAATAAGGGAAGCTTGAACCACACGAAACATGGGAAAGGGGTACCACCGGGCTGCTGAGCAGCCACCAGTGCAGCGGTGGCCGCATGGGCGTTGCCGAAAGGGAGAAGCCTTTCCTTGGCTGCTGCACTTGAACAAAGTTAGCATACTTACTTAAGGAAACGAGGTTACTCACTATTTAACCCGGGTTACTAATCAGGGTTTTCAGTTAACAGCTGAGGGAAGCCAGATTCTTCACCAGAATATGGACTAAGGATTACGATCTGTAGGGCTTAGGCCTTTTCAGGCCGAAGAAACAAACCCTAGGGGCCTTAAGAGTTTTTGGGGGCCATTATAGTCGAATTCCACAGGGACCATAAGGGAATACCATTAGTAACTATTCCGACCCCGATAACCCTAAACCCTAAACCCTAAACCTATATTATAACCTTAACGGCAAGCCAGCTTCGAACGCCCTTGCACAGACTTCTCTGATCTGAGGGTTCTGCTTACGGAAGCCCTTGGCGAGGCCGACAAAGGCCGAAGATCCCACCTCCGCCTTACGGGGTGGACGATTAGGGTTTAGGGTTTAGGGTTTAGGGTTTAGGGTTTAGGGTTTAGGGTTTAGGGTTTAGGGTTTAGGGTTTAGGGTTTAGGGTTTAGGGTTTAGGGTTTAGGGCCTAGGGCTTAGGGGTTAAAAGGGAAGTTTAGGGTTTGCGGTTTAGGACTTGGGGCTTGGGGTTTAGGGCTTAGGGCTTGGGGTTTAGGAGGGTTTCGTCTCAGTAGGGTACAGGGCACACTGGGTCCTCTGAGTTGTTGGGCAACTAGTGGGGTACGCCAAAAAACAGGGACCAAAATGCCAAACCCTAAGCCCTAAGCCCTGAACCCTCAACCCTAAACCCCATGCTGTGGTCCTACGCGGACTCCTCGGGGTTGCCTGTGGGAAGTGCATAGATAAGGGCTCATATGGACTCTGAGGCTAGGGGGCTTAATGGGCCTTCTCAGCTTTACGGGGCTCATGGAGGGCTTCTAATGTCTCTATGTAGGGTGTATCTAGGGCGCATTGAGTCCCAGGGCACGGAGAAGTCTCGGCACCACGAGAGCAGCGTCAGCAGAAGGAACTTGTCACCCGTCCGGGCCAAGTGGCCCGTCAACGCGTCCAGGAGCATCGCTTCTGACTCCTTCACCTGTAGGGTTTAGGGTTTAGGGTTTAACTTCACAAGGAACCCAAATTTCAGGGCCGGCGCTTCGATCCTAGATAGGTTGTAGCGGTCCTTAGCCTTCAGGCATACAAGGGGTTTTAGAGCTCAATGTTCTAGGAGTTCAAAGGAAACTATGTTCAAAGAATTTGTTAAAAAAAAACTGGAAGCTCTTGTGGCCATAAGGAAACGCTTATGGCCATTTTCAAAGGATTTGTTTTTTTTAATCTGGGAAGCTCTTGTGGCCACAAAAAAAAGTGTACCGCCAAAAGAAACCTGGTCGCCGCGGCTTCCGCCCCGATCTTCCGCACCAGCCGCGCGGCCAACAGGAGACCCTCGCAACCCTCCTGCCGCATGATGGAGCCTCGACACTGTTTTGGGGTTTAGGGTTTTGGGTTTTGGGTTTTGGGTTTAGGGTTTAGGGCCAGTTTAGGGTTTAGGGTTTAGGGTTTTCTTCAGGGACGGGGGTTCAAGGGGGGTATGTAACCCAAGGTTCCCTAATACGCCTCACTACTCCCTATGGCTCCCAAGGTTCCCCAGGTACCTAAGAAGATCCCAACATACCCCAGGCCCATACCCCTTAACCTCTCAAAGGAGAATGTAAGGAAGGATTGTCCCATACTCCTTACTTTCTTTTAGGGGTATGCCCAAGGGGTATGTTGAATATCTCTTAGAAGGTACCTACCCCTTAAAAACCCTATAGCTGTTCCTACCTTGGGGCACTAACTGGTCAGTTCTCTAAACCATGGTCCCGTTTTGGGCACCCGAAGCAAGAGGGGCCGCCCTGACAATAAGAACCCCACTATGGGACCAGATATTTGGATGGCCCTTGAAGCCCTCTGAAATATATTCCTAGATATGATCCTCTTAAACCCAAGTAAGGGAAAATCCAAAATGTCCCACGGGCCTACCTAGTTTTTGTTAGAAGTGACCAGATGCACCCTACAGGGCTTCTGGTCCTCATCAGGTATGGAATCCCCAGCTAAGTCATCCATGAAGCATGTGCTGGACTCGTCCGGTTTAGGGTTTAGGGTTTAGGGTTTAGGGTTCAGGGTTTAGGGTTCAGGGTTTAGGGTTTAGGGTTTAGGGTTTAGGGTTTAGGGCTTGTGATGACCTTTGTAGCCCCCCAAACCCTCTCGAACCAAAAACCTCCATCGAGCTGAAATCCAATCCTTTAAAGCGGCCCAGAAGCTTGACCGGCCCAGGTACTGCAGCGCCAGAGATAGGGCTCCCTCATCACCTTCAGGGAGGCCCACAGGGTTTAGGGTTTAGGGTCTATAGGGTTTAGGTTTAGGGTTTAGGGTTTAGGGTTTAGGGTTTAGGGTTTAGGGTGTAGGGTGTAGGGTGTAGGGTTTTGGGTTTAGGGTTTAGCATGGGATAGGGATGTTGGGATTTACGGCGTAAGGGCTAACCTTGGTATTGATTGAAGCTCCTGCACAAACCCTAAGCCCTAAGCCCGAAACCCGAAACTGCGAGAAGCTTCCGTCACCTTCGGGCGCATGGAGGATCAGGGCCCGGAGGACCAGCAAGCGGCTGCGAGCCTCAGCCTGCGGGGCCGGGTTTGGGGCCTGGGGATAGGGTTTAGGGACAGGGTTTCGGGTGTAGGTTTGGGAGGTTTGGCGTTTAGGGGTCGAGGGTTTAGGGGTTTAGGGGTGTGTTTGGGGTTTAGGGGTTTGGGGGTTTAGGGGGTTTAGGGGGTTTCGGGGGTTTCGGGGGTTTCGGGGGTTTAGGGGGTTTAGGGTTGAGGTTTCGGGTTGCAGGGTGATTCAGGGATCAGGATAACCCCTCGTAACCCATGGTAAGGCCTAGAAGCAGACCGAGCCTCTTGGCATTGAATATCTTCGCAGGGCTTCTCTTGCAGTGGGATTCTGTTGCAATCCCTAAACCCTTTAAACCCTAAACCCTAAACCCTAAACCCTAAACCTAAACCCTCTTACCCAAGACTCCAAGCCCGCCTTCTCCATGGCCAAGCAGAGGCTGGCAACCACCTCGCCCAGGGCAGCAGGCGACAGCGCGACCAGGCTCTGAAGAAGGGACACCTGGTCCTGTGTTGAGGGTTGTGGTCATGGGTTCCCATACTACCCCCCTCTTTCCTACCCCCCCTAGGTTCCCCCCATAAATAAGGCCATTTGGGCCTAACTAAGGTTATTTTTAAGAGGAGGGCCCAGGGGGTGTAGTATAGAGGGGGGTAGTATAGGGAAACCCATAATGTGTTCATTTTATGGGTTCGCAGACTATCATCACAAGATTCGGTGCACGAAAAGAAGAACTGCAACCGGGGGGGGGAGGGGGAAGGGTGGGGGCGGTAGCGTGGCTGTTCACAACCAGGGGCCAGATTCTGATCCAACTTGCCAGGAACGGCCCTTTTCAAGCCTGACTTAGGGGTAGAGTAGAGGTAGAAGCGGCGGCTGTTTGGCGCACCAGCAGCATACTAACATCTAGCTACCTGGCTCGCTAGCTGCATATGCGGCTACCTAGCTACTTTTGGTACGAACTCGCCCCTACACCCTAAACCCTAAACCCTAAACCCTAAACCCTAAACCCTAAACCCTAAACCCTAAACCCTAAACCCTAAACCCCAAGTCCAAAGCAGGGGCCTTGACATCCCTACACCCTAACCCCTACGGTCCCAAACCAGCCCTGAGCCCCTGAACCCCTCAACCCGAACCCTAAACCGGCCCGAAACACTAAACCAACGCCTCACAATCCTTATACACCTTATGCACCTTCATAAATCGTGACCCTAAACCCTAAACCCTAAACCCCAAACCCTAAACCCTAAACCCTAGACCCTAACCGGGTCCTCGGTGCCGAGGTTGTGCTTGCATGCAGACATGGCCGCCAACAGCTCCGGATCCTCCGGGATGCACTGAAGGGTAGAGGCTTTGTAGGAGGTGGGGTTTAAGGTTAATTTAGGGTTTAGGGTGTAGGGTTTAGGGTTTAGGGTTTAGGGTTTACGGTTCAGGGTTCAGGGTTCAGGGTTTAGGGTTTAGGGTTTGGGACGTAGGGTTTAAGGTTAGGGGATGTAGGGGCTTTAGGAGGTTTATAGGATGCAGGGTTTTCACTGTTTTGGGGTTCAGGACACATCTCTGCTTTTTGGGGTTTCGGGTTCGGGGGTCTAGGGTCGAGGCGCTAGAGGATGTAGGGTGTAGGGTTAGGGGCTTTAGGGGCTGTAGGTGCCTTAGGGGCCTTAGGCGCCTTAGGGGCCTTAGGGGCCAAGGGGGGCTTAGGGGCTTTAGCAGCTTTAGGGGTTTCGGTGGCTTTAGGTGCTTTAGGTGCTTTAGGCGCTTTAGGGGTTTAGGGTGCCATCTCTGGGTGCGGTAGGGTTTGAGGTTCAGGGTTCAGGGTTTGGGGATAAGGGTCTTAGGGCGTGACAGAAAAGCCCAGGCCATGCCGTTTAGCCAGGAAATATTCCGGAATGCCGTTACTCTGTCGGCTCAACAACCAACAGTTGCAAAAGGGTTAGGGGTTGCCAATTATGGGTACCCCTACACCCTAAACCCTAAACCCTAAACCCTAAACCCTAAACCCTAAGCCCCAAACCCTGGACTAAACCCTAGGTTTAGGGTTTAGTTAGGGTTTGGGGGTGTGGGGTTCAGGCACACACAGGCAGAGGGGCCTCTCGGAGGACCTTTGCAGCCGCTGCAGCAGCGAGAACCTGCATCCAACCCCCCCCCCCCCCCCTGACCTTAAATCCTAAACCCTAAATCCTAAACCCCAAGCCCTAAACCCAGAAAAAGCCCCTTATTTGCAAAGAGTCGCCCTGAATCCGCCCCAAGATCCCTCAACAAACCCGTGCAATCTCGAAACCGCCGGAGCCAAAACAAACTTCAAACCCAAACAGGGTTTAGGGTTTAGGGCTAGTTTAGGGTTTAGGGTTTGGGGTTTAGGGTTTAGGGCAACTACCCTTGCACCTGCACCCAGTGAGGCTCCGTGGGCACGAGGCGCAGCAGGAGCCCCGCCCGGGCTTGGCCATAGGCTCTCGCGCTTGCCAGGGCCAAGGCGTTCATGATGGCCTCTTCGGGATCTCACCCTAAACCCTAAACCCTAAACCCTAAACCCTAAACCCTAAACCCTAAACCCTAAACCCTAAACCCTAAACCCTAAACCCTAAACCCTAAGCCCTAAGCCCTAAGCCCTAAGCCCTAAACCCTAAACCGAACAAAGTGAGCACCCAGGCAACCATCCCTTAGGCTGAAAGTTGGGTTGAGCTGCCCGGTTCCCTTCACAGCCAACAAAAAAAGCGCGCAACAGAAGGGGTAGCCGAAACACCCTAAACCCTACACCCTACGCCCTAAACCCTAAACCCTAAACCCTAAACCCTAAACCCTAAACCCTAGACCCTGGAGTCGACAAAAGCTCGGGCCTCTGGCCATACCAGGACGGGCTATTATACCCGATAACCCCTTAAAAAAGGCCCTTTATAGGGTTGACTATGGAGATTCTAGGGCCTCTCATAGCCCATCCTGGTATACGTTGAGATGACGGATGCGATGTCTACCTCGAAGTTTCTGTCTCGGGATACCTGATTCGACACAAATCGTACGCGGACGCTGCAGTTGAACCAATTCCAGAGTGCACAGGGCACTCGTCATTGGGGGTTAGGCCAGTGTCTGTAGGACGACTACATAGATTTGAATGTAGGCCTTCCATCGCAGTGACTTCTCACAGCATGCTGTGGAGCACGCTCCGGATGCTCGTGCGGCAAAGACTTGTGAGAAGAAGACAGAACTAATTCTAAGGTGTAATAATGGTGGATTTCCAAGATATGTAAAAAGCCAATTAAAGATTTTTGTACCAGTTGGTAAGGATATTAAGATTGTAACTCCTGTAAGATAAGCTCTTGTATCACTTTCTAAACCTACAGTATACATATGATGCCCCCAAACAAGACTTCCAAGAAGAGAAATAGATAACATGGCAAAGATCATTGATTGGTTACCAAAGATTATTAATTGTAAAATACCAGAAATTATTATGGAAATGATCCCAAATGCAGGAATTATTAAGATGTAAACTTCTGGATGTCCAAGACGTGAGTATAGTGAGGAACAACTACATAGCTTGTTTGTAACAGTTTAACAATTATTGAGAGCCCTTTCTTTGAGTGGTTCATGTTAAAGAAGAGCTGCCCTTGTCTTAAAGTTTCCGATAAAGACACCCCCCCGCCAACACTTAGAATCCCCTAAACCCTGAACCCTAAACCCTAAACCCTAAACCCTGAACCCTAAGCCCTAAACCCTAAACCCTAAACCTAAACCCTAAACCCTAAACCCTAAACCCTAAACCCTAAACCCTAGTCTACTAGAACCCCGCCCCATCAACACTTAGAATCCACGCATGATGCCTGCCTCTTGCGGGGCTGGCGGCCGTCCAGGGCCGTCTCCTTGCTAGCCCAGTAACCATATTCCATAATAAGTCTAATAAGGGCACCCTTTTTTGGGTTGGCTACTTTGTAAGGGAACCTTGAAATATTCTACTAAGGGCACCCTTTTTTTGGGTTGGTTACTTTATAAGAGAACCTTGAACCAACCAACCAAAAAAAAAGGAAAAGGGTACCACTGGGTTACCAAGTCTCGAAACAGTTGGGCCAAGGTTCGCTGGACCAAAGCCTCGGCATCCGCAGCCTCTGCCACGCGCTCGAAATAGCTGAGGCTGACGTGCCTTGGGGACCCGAATGAGACATAAAAAGGGTGTAGGGTTTAGGGTTTAGGGTTTAGGGTTTAGGGTTTAGGGTTTAGTGCGTGAGGTCGGGTAGTTGCTTGCGCTACGCTTTGGCTCCTCACCAGCCAAATGGTCTCGCACTTGTTTTCTGCACTGATGTTCGCCTTCAGTCTCCGTCTCGTGCACCCGGGCGGTTTCCAGTTACGCTATTGCGCTTACTTCCAACCTATGGGTGACCTACACTCTAGGGATTACTTGAGCCAATGTGGTGAACAGGCCACGGCGTTCTAAAGTGGTTTCCCCGATGTGCGGCGGAGCCGACACAAAGGGGTTCCCAAAATGTGCTGTGGTTCGGGGATCATTCACACCCCCCACGGCTGGGATTTGCAAAATGCTAGACGAATTTGCGTCACGAACATACAATGGTCCCAGTTAAAAGCGACTTAAAGTCTGGCCGTTCTCCACTGTTTTGCTCTCTTTGCCCGAATTGATAGATGTGAGACAGACTTTCAGCTACTGAAGCGTTCAATCCCATCCTTTATCTGTACAAAGACTTGCTGCTCACGGTTGCGGAATCGTGGGCGCGAAAGGCCCTGAAAGCATGTCAGCAAATTGCTGATCCATCACATTGCGTCTCCAGAATGCATGACTGAGAAGCAGTAGCATCGGCCAAGTCAGCAGAGCATGACCCATACCCACTTGGCTACCACACGAGCTGCGAAGAATCGCACATTTCTCTCCAGCGGGCGCATTGGCACATTGCCCCGCTGCTGCTATGCAGTGGCCAAAAAGAGAAAATAGCATCGGTGGATATAATGACGTACTCCATCGTATCGTCTGTTGCATCCATAGGGAAAAGAGGAATCAAAACTGAGAACGCAAAATGCTGAGCCACAACCAGATTTCAGGAATACCATGGATTCCAGGGGATGACATACCGGAGGATCCGAGTACATCATTCACCCTTTCTTTCCCGATCCCTTTCTCGAATGACCGCGAGGATCTTTGGGAGCAGCTTGAGGTGTCCCAGGATGAGAAGTCTTGGGCTTCGGCTGACTCATGCGGGCCTTCGCACGTGCCGGCGTGTCCGTCTCGTCTGCTTCAGGATGACGAGATCCTCCCGACGAAGTAACCGAAGGTGCGGATGCTGAAGGGTCATAGGCAAGGTACAAAGCCGACGCCTTTGGATTCTCCAAATACTGTGTGGGCTTCAACTTCAGGATGCTCATGTCCTTCTTTTGATCACTCAACCATCTGTCCAGCTTCTTGCTGTACTGGTTGGGTAAAGCGCACCCCGAATCCCTCATCACCAGAAGGTTGTTGACGCTCACCTTCTGCGAGTCCATCAAACTGAGCAGCTGGATCGGGTTGATGTATTTGAATGCCGCGTGGTACGGGATCTCAGCGTTGGGTTTCGTGTAGGAGTAAAGCCTCACGTTCAGCACCTGATAGATGATTTTAGCCATGAACATGTGGACCCTTTGCCCGGCTTCAGCAAATGCTTTCGGGTCCTCGGCCTCATCCGGAATCATGGGGAGGTTGAAGCTCTCCTTGTTGTATCCCAGCTGGATCGCCCCACGCATGACGTAGAAGACGAACTTGTTGGCGTAATAACGCTCAATCATAAACTGCTGGTTCTCCACAGAGCTGGCATACTGCCTTACCTCGTCTTCCATTAAGTCTCTCGGCAACGCCGTGTCCTCATCGATGGGGACAATTGGCCATGTCCCAGATGCGTCGTGTCTCATGCCTGAGGCGAACTGGTCCTTCATCTTCTTGTATGGAGTCATGATGATCTTCTCGAACAGATTCCATTTATGGACCAACACGTACGCAAAGAAGGCGTCGAGGTGACAGTACAACCTGAAGTTGTGGTCCACGCACGCTGCATAGTCCGTGTCGATGTTGACGTTGCACTCCAGCGCGAGGCGAGCTTTCCTCTCGTTTCGATCGTCCAGCGAATCGCCTTCCCTGTCTCCCACCAGCACGAATGCTCGCTGATTCTGCGCGTCCATCTCCACCTCCTCTTGGTTGGGAGCCTCCATCTCCACATCGCGGTACATGTCGCGAATCTCGTCGGGGATCTCCTCGGCCTCAGGTTCCGCCACGCTTTCTCGAGGACTGTTTGCCTCTGCATCCCCTGCCGGATTCTGCACCCCGCGGAGCGGAAGCGCATCCTCCTGGACAGGTTCTGAAGTTGGCTCCTCTTCCACGTCAATCTCCACAACTTCGTTGTTGACGACGGCGGCGGCTTGGTTGAGTGCCTGGCGGACCACTTCCGGATCAATCCTTTCGGGTTCCGGATTGGCACGCACATGCTGGATCCTCCCCATGGACAGGAAAACTCTCCCACACGTGAGGCAAATTGCGAAGCTCGCAGGGGTATGCCTGCCGCAGCAGGGGCAAACCCTCAAGATCAGCGGATCGCTTGTGGTGGTGTGAGTCGTCACTCGCCGGAATGTCCTTGAGAGAAACTGGAAAGCACGCTTGATGATGTTTCCAGGAACGGTGTCGCCCGCCTGCTCAATTGCTTGCAAGATCTCGCGCCTCTCGCCTTCATGCGGGCCAGCGTCGGTGCCTTCCATGGTGCTGACGAGGTCTTCCACCGAAGGTTTTGGAGGGTCACGATCTGGATTGATGCGTGCGTCCCCGTATCCTTCGACCATCTCCTTGGACAGCTCTTTGGAGTACACCTTGAAGACTTCGCTGAACTCGAAGTATCTTCCTTGGCTTGGCATGCAGATCCAAACGTGCTTGACGGCCTCGAATGGAATTTGCCGCTGGATGAGAAACATTCCATTGATCGTGATCACTGCATTGTAGCGCATGAGCTCGTAGGCTGGAACGTACAATACTGCAATTGGTGACCTCGGCCTTCCGGGAATCCTTGTTCTCACCGTCTGATTTCTCGGATCCCATGGCGGGAACGTCCCGAAATGGCTGTGGACTCGACCGCCTGACGCCCCTCCACCTGGAAGAAGTCCTTTCGCCACGATGTTGGCGAGAAGCTCTGGGGCCGTGGTGTGATACCCCCCACCAATCTGGTTGACCAAGCTTGTGGTCAAGTGGCATGCGACCCTGTCGTCATTCACCCGCACCAGTGAATTGGAGTTGCTGGAGTGTCCACTTGTGGCCCTGATCGCCCATGGCTGCACCCAATTGTCGCATCGACGAAGGGTCCCGGACGTAATGTCATGTGTCAACCTGTGTCCTCCGAGTTCTTCAAGTTGGGCACGTTGGGTTGCACCGACGCCCGGAGTACCGTCCCACGGCGTATCGGATGCCCTCTGTCCAGGTTTGGGCGCCACGATCTTGATGCCCAGGAATTGAAGTCTGATCCTTCCGTTCGTGCGGTACTCGTAGTACGCGTAGTCGATCAGCATTTGGATTCGTCTCTGATACTCAGAGTTGTCGTCTCGTGCTGAACTCCTTGCATAGTACCTCCCGCTTTGCCAGAAGTTCTCCAGGTTGATGAAGTCTTTGAGCATCACCCATCCGCCTGTGTCGCACGGGATTGTTGGGAGCTGATTGTGCATGTAGTTCGTCTCCCTGTTTGCTAGGCGGTGCCTAAGCAAACGTTGCACATCATAGCCCAGGGATTTGATCCTGCGATGATAATCCCGATTGCGATGGTTGTCATTGGAGGATGTCGCGGGAACCAGGGCCGAAAAGTGCCTGTGAGCGAATCTTGCACCCTTGATGGGTAGGAGCCGGAGGTCCCCTCCGATGACCAGCTTGCCGATGTTCACGTACCCCACGTTCGAGGAAGGATACTCATCGATGTCGCTTCGGAGAGGGTGTGTTGCAACGTCTCCTCCAACCTCCTGCTCAATCAATCGGCGCGTTGCATCCTGCGATTGTAATCCGATCTCGTAGATGCTCTGCCCGCCGACCCACGATACGTCCTCGATGGACTTGATGATGTCAAGGCAAGACTTCGGCTCGTGGTAGCGAATCTCGACGAATGAACGAGCATTGCCGGCGTTGTTCGCAATCCACCGCCTAGGAGCTGGCGCAGCTTTGGGCTCTGGAAGATCAGGTCTCGGTTGGGGCCTGCGTTTGGGTCGAAGCATTCTTGTCGCAGTTTCTTCTGGTTCTTCATCGACTTCGATCACGACCACTGTAGGATCCTCAACTGAGATTGATGCTTGACGCCGTCTTGGCAGCGGGCCTCTGGAATCCTCCGAAGACGCTGCAGCTCCAGGCTCAACGCTTTCCCCATCCCCACCCGGAGTATCCGAAGCGGTTCCTGGTACTTGCGGAGCGCGAGCGGCATCTCGCAAATTCTTCTCTGCCCATCTCTGGAAGATCTCTGTTGGTGGCGTACTGCTTGACTTGTGCATCTTAGCCAGGCTTTTCCCAATGATGCTGAATGCTTCGTTCACCACCAGAGCGTTGTACCCCCCATTTGCTTCGCAATTTCGGGTGTTGTGGCCATAGTTGCCGCAAGCAAGGCACATGCTGGGTGGCTGCATACCAGCGGTTATGCGTAGGGCATTGAGTGCTCGGACGTAACCTTCACAAGGACGCGATATCTCACCCAGCTCGGTCTCGTTCGGTTCTTGCATGGTGGGGATAGAGCTTGCCTCGGGCACGCCCATATCATCATCTTCCTGCCCCTCAGGTTCCACGCCGGAGGATCCGAGCGCTTCCCCTTCATGGGCTTGATCTTCACCTTCTGGTTCTCCACCACGAGGTTCTGCACTGGGGACGGGTGCTGCGGAGAACTCTTCAGGTCGTTGATCTTCCGGAGAAAGGGTTCCGAGGACTGGCTCCTCAATTGGCAGGACTCGATCGACAAGGACCGCATGCCATTCTCCTTGGAGTAAAGTGTTCTCGTACTCCATGATCTGCTGAATCGTCTCTGCATCATTTGCCCGGGGAGGACGACGTTTTCGATTCTCCACGGCAGTAATTCGCACCGCCTCCGCTGCAGCAAACCGATAAAAGGACCGTTCGATTCCTCGAAGACAAGCGAGATGATCTTCGTACGATCCCCA